ATATACATACATATACACACACACACACACACACACATATATATTAGTAAATTGCAATCTCAGATGAAAACAAGGATCACATATGTTTTTCTTGTCTTGTTCTTCTTAAATGGGGTCACACAGCGAGTTTTCACATTATCCTTCAAACATCAGAACTGGAAGATTCTTCAAGCACATCAGTTTTCTAATCACACCCATTCAGCAGTAGCTGCGTGTCTGCCCCTCAGAGTGGATAGTCCAGTTAGGTCCCGGAAGGCTACCTTGACGAGCCAGGCCCCTTTGGTTTCTGAGCCCAGATGGCTGAAGTGAAGGATTCAAGACTGCCTCTCTGCGTGGTGCACTGGAATATGGGGCCTGCATGGGTGCAGATTGGAAAGGATATTGACTGTGCTGATATGAGACTGCTGGATAACCTCCTGGTTGAGCACTAAACCCTCGTGGTGTCCCTAGTGACAGGTTTGTGAGGAGGCCAGAAGTGGAGGTAAGGGCATTTTCTGCTGAGGGTTGGCTGGTATAGAGTTGGTCCTGATAAAGGGGACGAACAGGGTAGGGGTTTGGGTTGTCTCCCTGAGGAGCCGAGTTAAAATCCTGTGCATGGTAGAATTTCAGTACTTGATCACCAGATGGCATTACGTCGAAGGCTTGTCGGTAGTGTCCGCCTGACGAGGTGGACCTTCGTAGAGGGTCTGGTCGCTGAAAGCCTGGTCCCTCTCCACGCAGTGGTGCCTGGCCCTCCAAATGACTATGAAATGGTCCAGATGTGTAGATATTATAGGAGTGCTGGTGCTGGCTGGGATAGGGATTTGGGGGGTGCTCTAGTGGAGGTGATGAGGAGGTGGAGGAGGAGGTGACAGCACATGGGCCTTCCCCTTCATCCTCTGCCAGCTTCTCAATAAGCAGAGAGGCTATTTCTTTCCCAGTCAGTTTCTGGCTGGACTCCACAGTGGCACTCTGGGTGTCTGAGCGACTCTGAGCATGTCCCACAGCTGCTACTGTTGTCTTGGGAACCAGGCTGTCTTCAACCTCAACTTGTGTTGGACTGTCATAACAAGAGGAAGCCAATCGTTTAGGATTCTCTTGTTTAGCATCAGGGTTGGAGGAATCAGCGAGCGCATCAGAAGGTGGAGCCAGGGAGTCAGATGATTGCTGGGAGTCTCCGTCTAAGTCAGTGGTGGCCCAGCTTTTGGTTTTACTGGCACTAATGGGGCTGCTGATGGGGAAATTTACATAGATGGGTTCGGACTGCTCTGGCTGCTTTGGTAAGGGCCTCAGCACCAGTGAAGAGGGTGACTGCACTGGCATCTCTGCCAGGGAATGATGATTCTCAGTGCCGAAGGGCTCAAAATGCCGGTAGCACACTTTGCCATTCTCAAAGTAGGGGTGCAACTGTGAAGCAGCAAGATCAGAGGGGGAGTACTGGGATCGATGCTGGTGGCGCTGGTGGACTGAGAGTGGTATACCCATAGTGGGGTTTGAGGACAGCCTGACTGAGGAGGAGAGGTGGCACAGGGGGTGATGCATTGGGGAGCTCTCCTGAGGACGATGATGGCCGTGAGAAAAGGAGTACGAGTGGGACTGTGCTGCCGCCCAGGCACGCGTGGCTTCAGAAGACCATAACTGGGGTCCCTTGGTCACCATGGATAGATGGCTGGGGTGTGGACTATGCTTTTGGGGTGGGACTCTGGAGAGAGGCTGCTGGCTTGCCTCAGTGTTACCAGGACGGTAGTTCCCCTCTGCATCCAGCCTCATGTTCTGGTAGCTGTGCCGGGTGTAACTGGGTGGTGGATGTTCAGGTGCAGCTATTTCATAGTAGAAGTTCTCCATTTTGCCCTGATCCTCTGTAGCTGCTATGGGCTGGATCTTAGAAGCCTGGGGTGCCTGAGGCCGCATGGCAGTGGAAGCTGAGCGGCTGGGCGGCCGTGAAGCTTGGTAACGCGGCACCACATGTGATGTCCCGCTTATGCGCTCGGAGAATGCCCGTGACAGTGGGGCACTAGGGTTCTGCGACTGGGTGATAATACGCCGAATTCGCGCAGCATCCAGGGAACGACGCATGAAATTGTCAGCCCGGGAGAGAGGAGTCCGATCCAGTGGTCTGGAGGGCACCTTGGGCCATGGGGACTGGACAGCATGTACCTGGGCCAGCGGGGAGCTCTCTGACTTGGAGTGCAGGAGCTGAGGCTGGGTGGGGGGATTGTTCTGTGGGTGGGGAGCAGAAAACTGACGGGAATAGTGAGGAGCCTTCCTCTGAGATGAAGCTTCATCATCGTTAGGTTGTTCTTCAGGAAATAGGCCGTGCATTTTATGTTGTGCCTGCTGTTGCTGCTGCTGGTTTTTGTAGATCAGACCTGGAGATGTATTCAATTCTCCAGTTGAGCTACCAGCTGACACTTCAGAGTTAGATGCCCCAGAGTCAGAGGCTGATGTCTGCGAGGAAAGAGTGCCTGTATCCTGTGGTGAGACAGTGTACCACGGTGATTTGGTATAAATGCATGCAAGTGTTCTTTCATGATAAACAACAGCGCTCTGCCTCCATTACATTAACTGATTCAGGATGCTCTAGGATTAAGAATGAAAGAAAAAAAACAACGTCCATCTTTCACTGGACTTAATCACACTCACCTGCCCCTGAGGACTGCCTGCCTGCTGTGGCCCCTCCTGTGGGTTAGCTGTGTTGGTCTTGCTCTCAGACATCCATGCAGATAATGGGCGGACGGTGGAGTAAAGTTGGTTTGCGTCAGAAGTTGAGGCCAGCACGTTGTCTGTGTCAGCAGGGGGGCCCTTGAGGGAGGGGCTCTCCTGGAACTGGGGGGAGCAGAATGGGGGTGAAATGCCCTCCCCCCGAAGGGCTTTGTTGGCGCTCTCTGCTAGGGCCAAGGCCATGAGCCGTGCAGGATTTTTGGGTGGAGGTGGGGGTGGCTGCTGTGAGGGCAGGACAGGGCTGGGGGAGAAGAGAATGCCTACATTGAGGAGGGAGAGAGAGAGGGGGGAGAGAGAAGGGGGGAGGGAGGGGGAGAGACAAGGAGGTGAATATCTTGGATTAGGGGGTTAATTATTGTTTTGAGTACTTGTATTTTGTCTAAGCCCAAACTCACTGAATTCACTTTTGCACTTTTTAAGCTATTAAGCCTAGCTTGGCACGTAATGATCCTGTGCCTGAATGCTGGAAAACCTTGTTTTATTAAACAAAAAACAGGTGTGTACAGGTATGCTGTCTTTATAAAATCAATGGTAGACCAATTATACGTTATTTCAGCCTGAGCAATTATTCATATTTATATTAGGCTGAGACCCCTTAACATTGGCTCAATTCCAGTTTGCTGTGGTTAAACTGCTGTTGCTTAGTCTAACAGCAGAGCAGGCTTCATGTACAGTATAGCTTACAAGACTGGAGCACCACAGAGAATGCAAACTTACCTAAAAAATGAGAAAGGAACAAAGAGCAAGAAAACATTTAAGCAGGGTGAAAACACAAATGGGCAAAGAAATACGAGTAATCTAAAATGTTATGTCGCCCTCTGGTGAACAGTGAGGAAGTAACAGCTGGCTTTCTCACATGTTAACTGAGAACACCTGCTACTCAAGTTATATGCATAATAAAGTAGGGTTTTTTTTTTGGAAATCTTACTTCTTTCACACTGATAGTTTGTTCTATCAGTTCTTCAACTCCCCACAAAAGTTAGCTATATTTGTGCAATGTATTTTTGTCATATATTTTGGTTTTTTAGTACAAAAACCTAAATTCTGGGTTAATATAACGAAACACCCAATAGACAGCCAAGTTTGAGAAGAACCGGGTCAAACACTCATCTTTTGATTCAACAATTACCAAGCGCACATAACAGTTCAGAATAGTTCTGATGGATTAATCCCCATAGTAACTGTTACTAGGTGTTGTATATTTCTCCAGTAGGCACTGAGTGCCTACAGAGTGAATAGAACAAGCAGAAAATACAATCTCATCTCAATAATTAGATAAATTCCCAGTGCAAAGTCTCTATGTCCAAAGAACACTTGCATACACATACAGTGGGTCTGGGTGAATTTTGGTCCCTATAAGCGGATGACCATTGTAAGAGATTTTTTCCCTTTTCTTTATGTCTCAAAATACAGGCTACAGTACAGCTGTTTAAAAGGCTTTTCAAATTAAAGTACTGTACAAATTAAATCACTGAACTGTACAACTCAAATATGCTATAATACATTACTGTATATAAAATATAGCTTATTGTGGTTTCGCTGCTGCATATATTTGGCTCGTTTTTGGCTCGTTTATCATACGCTTTGATGAGTCTATATTTTTCATTGAGAGAAAATTACATTCATTTTCCTGTCAAGTTTTCTGTGTATGCAGCAGGTAGCGCCAGAAGCAGATGGGATATCGCAAGGCAAAATAGGGCTATCAAAATAAAGTCAAGAAAAAAAAAAAGAATTACTGTAGTTTATTTTTTCCATACAGTGTAAGCGGACTACTTGACTACTGTAAGCAAATGATTTAAACAGTATTTGTACAGGAATGATTCTGTCCCAAGCTTTTTGATCCATAGAAACGGTTGATCAATATAACCATGATCACTATATGTGATTTCCACTGTATTTATAATTTAGTTTACCAGAAATGGTTAGGATTTTCAGACCTTATGTTTCAACTCTTCATCCATGTCTTATATTTTGCACTTACCTTGACCCTTGACCTCTGCACCCAGTTTACTGCGCAGTTCCTGCTGGCAGTTCTCCGTTAGCTGGAAGTCACATGACCTAAGCAGCATTGAAATCATCTGAGGTGGTTGGGGGGGCGCAGCACTATGTGGTCCTAGCTGAAGTTCACCAGCACGGCCACCTATCATCTCCAGGACCTTCATGGCCACAAAACAAATGTTGGAAACCTCAAAACATAAATACTAGAAAGCAATAAATACTGTACATGAAATCTTCTGATGCGAGGAATCCCCAAACGAGCTTCATGGGCCGAACGGCCTCCTCTTGTTTGTAAATTTCTTATGTTCTTATAAAATGGTTTCCATGCCAAGTGTTAAAAATGACTGTTGACATACAGAAAGACAGTCAAAGCAACAAAGTAAACGAACCTACCTTCGCTGGGACACTGATGGCGACAGGGTCTGAGATATCTAGTGGAGGATACTTTGGTGCCTTGGGAGAAAGCGCCTGCACCATCTTGCGGGTGAAAGAGCGCCGCTCTTGAGGCAGATGGGAGGAGGTGGAGGCAGTGACGGGCTGACTGTGGGGGGGACTACTGCTGGCCTCTGTGTGCTGGGCCACTGCTGTGGGTTTGTGCTGGAGGAACATCTGTATGGGCGGTGAGACTGCAGCCAGGATGAGACTCCTGCGGGCTGCCACCTCCGACTGATTGAGCACCGAGTCCGGATCCTCTGTGACGGAGCGCTGGCTTTGGGAGCGAGAGTGGGAGGGCCCCTTGTGATTAACACAGCGGTAGGGTGGCGACTTGGCAGCAGTGGGGGAATCTCTGTTGACCCCAGCGATGCTGCCCAGTCCTATGGGGCCGTCTTCAAGGAATGTGGGGCTAAAGTCGGCCACGTCTTCCGCCATCCATGACGACGTAGGGTCCTGAGAGAAATCTGGTAGCATATAGACACCATCCTCATCCTCCTCCTCCTCAGCATCAGCATTGTCATCATTGGCATCATCCTCCCCAGGGGCATGAGGGTCATCAGGCAGGAGGCTGTCATAGGAGCGACTGGGTGGCTGTTGGGACAGCAGCTCAGGCTGGGCCGGGGAGGCAAGAGAGAGTCCGTCGCTGCTGGAGCGCGGCCGGCGGAGACGCTGCAACTTCGTCTGTCCTGAGGACAGAGAGACAAAAGTGGAACACTGAGATCAGGTTCTAGCAGGCAAACAAAGGCAGCAGCAGAGTGACGTTACTGCAGAGCAAGTGAACAAGGGGCATAATATATTTCTACAATAATGATCTGTGAAGTATCAGACAGTCATAATAAGATCAGATTAACACTAGGGTCAGGACCTAATTCCAGGGGTGTGACGAGAGCTGTGAAAGAGAATCATAAGACACTGAGGAAATCATTTACATGCTACCTCTATGGTATGGGATGGAGTGGTGGCTCTGAGGCTAGGGATCTGTGCCAGCAACTGGATGGTTGCTTGTTCAAATTCCATGAATGCCCAGAGTGATTCTACTCCGTTGGATCCTTGAGCCAGGCCCTTAACCTGCAATTACTTCGTCCTAGGTATGACGTTAATCTACATCCAGCCCTATAAGGAGGTCCTCCAAATTACAGGGAAAAACTTGGGGGTTGGTGGCAGGATTGGCACTCCAGCCACCTGAAAAAAACCTCACACTGATCCATTTGGACTAGTGTGGTGCTGAGGTATCACCTGCCATCCCTAAGGTAGTTTGTCGTGTGGTGGGTGCGGCAACACACTGTAACCAGTGCATGCTCCTTACCTCTCCTCTATGACACCATAGCAACACCTACCGGACAGGCTATGCTTTCACATAAATGTTGCTGAGCTTTCTTATAGTAAAGTAGCACTAGACTCAAATGCAAGCACAAAAATGAATTGATTCTTAGAAGTAGGGATGTAACTGTACACAAAATTCACATTTTGATTCAAACTGTTTGATTTTTGGGGTCATAGTTTGGGGAAAGTTCAGTACAGAAGGGAAACAGAATTTGTTTTGAAATTATTTATTATAACTTCAAAGATGAACACAATGAAGAACAGTTGTAAACCAAACACAATGTGTCTTTTCAAATAAAATCTGAGACGCTTATTTGCACATTGTAAAAACAAATATGTAAATCAAAATTAAAGAGTAAAACTATAAGACATAATAACAATCATAATGAACATAACCTCTGTTTTCTGCTACCAAGTTTGGCTGCATTTTTGTAATGATAAACACCGCTACAGCCTGTTTTTTTTTCTTTTTTTTTCGGCTTGATCTGAATTTCCTGGTAAAGCATCATAGACGCCAAAGAGAGACTAAGTTGCAGAGGCTGTCTCTACCTTGCTCGGGTCATATGTACTCAAATGATGTTGCCTCAAATGATTTGACATGTTGGGCGTGTTTCCAGAAAAATATCCAAGCTTGGTATAACCAAGCCAACAGACTGCCTTGGACTTATAAGGTACTCTCTTCGGTGTTGGTGTAATTTATTAGGAAACCAAGATGTTCCTAAAGAGCAGATTATGACTATTACCAGCATTAAACATGAGTTAAACATCAGGGTATATACAGAAATCCAGAGGTTAAATTTAACACTTTTTAATACCTTTTTTAATACTTTCTCAATATTTTTTAAAACCCGCACGGCATTGAGTTGCAACCGTTTTTAAACAAGTTTCAAACTGATTTAAAGATTTATAATGTTACACAATTTTGGCCTGTACAACAGAATTTAAATAAGGAACATGGGTCAACAGAATAAATTTAGTGACTGTGATTTTGAAAACATCTTGCATTTAATTTCTTCATTCACAAGTCCATATCTTTATCCACTAGGCTATTCATGGCAAGTGCCTTAATTGTTTGGCTTTTTCTTCAATGAGTTTGTTGATTTG